TTAAACTCTTACTACTATTTCTGGTTGTTTTCTTCTTGCTTTTTGTTTTTTATTTTATTATGATCATACCTTCTTTAATCTCTGAGTGTATTTAGAGGTTCTGTGTGTGTACACATTTAATTATTTGTGACTTTTTAAAAATTCTCTTCTCTTTCTTTAATTATTGCTATTTACTCTGTGTTTTTATTTGTCTTAGATATTTTTCTTTTATGTTCTGTTTTCCTCATATACCTGGTTGTCTTAGGTTGTCTGTTCAGCAATAAGAATGTAGGATTATGGAGCTGGTGTGGGTTTTCCTCTGATGTTATATTTCAGTAGATTTAAGTAGGCTGATTTTCCTGTAATTCTCTCTGAAGTGGAAAATCATACCCAGAGCACGTTGTACTTGGATGCGTGTCAACTATTAGATTTCAATTTAGAATAAGTGTGTAGAGAGCCTGAGGGGGAACCTTCTAAATGCCAAAGAGGAAGAATTTACTACAGAGTATCACCAATCACACTAGATGCCTTAAATTTCTCCTATAAGATTCTGTTCAACTTTTGAAGGAAACAGCCGCACAGTTTTTTTTTTCCTGGAGGGAAAACCCTGCTTGCCTGTCTTCTGTAGAAGGGATGGAGGATGTGGAAGGAGACACCTACTGTGCTCAGTTCCTTTCTTACTTTCTTGGAACTTGTCTGGCTCCAGAGCCTCTGAGAAGTTTTAAAAGGAATTTGGCTTCTGCCGCTGCTCTCTTACTTCGTAGATGGTCAGAAAGTAATATATTATGACAATATTATCTTTGTTTCCCTCCCAAATGTTGAAACTACTGCACTGATTTAAGATAGAATGTTATGTTCACAGCTTTCATAGAAGAATTATTGAAGATATATTTACCAAATACAGGGTATATGGGGATCTTTTGCCAAATTATATTTTCCATGATGTCACTCCAAATCCTTTATATAAAATCCATCCTTAGAACCTAGCTAACTAACTGGTACAAGCTCTACTGACTCCCCCAGCTAGTACGGCTACCTTACAAATAAGTGTCTTGCTCAGGTGACATATTGGAAATTCAAACGCACTGTCCCTATTATTACAGAAAATAACTCCACGTATAATGTCCTCTGCTGATTGGTTGGTTGCACTGATCTTATTTGTGAAACTACATCAACATTAGTAGATGTTAGTAGCCTTTCTGCTTTCTCCTGGTGTATCCACCCAAAATAGAAAAACTTGCCCAGAATGGAACACTAATTTTTCAAAATTGGCGTGGAAAACACTTGCACATGATGAAAGACAGCCATGCAATTGAATTTTGAGTGATGAAGAAAGCACCTTCAGACAAAAACTCCACACCTTCTTTGAGACCGAAAGAAAAAACGAGCTTGACTAATGTTCTCTCCTCCGTACTAGGCAAGAGGGTGCCATCACCGGCACTCAGCACAACCTGGAAGAAACGACTTCGTCTTTCTGATACCGTTTCTTTTTCATATCTGATATTATCTGCTCGCCACTGGGAGTGTCCTTTGCCAGGACTAAAGGTCACATCAAAGCAACGTATGTGGCAAGGGAAGGAAAAATCTGGATGAGTTGTCATGATGCACAGCCCCTCTCAGCCAAGGTCTTTGGACGTTCCCCTCTCACTGTAATTTGGATACAGTAGAGGCAGCATGTTGGAAACGCAGGTTTAGGGTATCTCAATATCGACCCCTACTATACCAAAATGGAGGTAAACTTTTCCAGAAGCTAGTTACACAGGAAATAGAATTAATGGTCATTTAAGTATTATGAAAAAAAAAAGAAGGAAATAGAAGAATCCATCCCTCCCCCTCCAATGACTGGTGAAGAGATAAAGATACTTGCAGAATATCGCATTTCAGAATGCTTAGCAAGGTACAGTACTAGGAAAGAATTGGGAATTGGAGTCTCTGCCACTCGCCAGCTGGGTCTTTTAAAAGAAAACTGTTGAACTAGCCATCTTGATTTTTCTTGGAAAAAAAGCTTATTTAAATGTTCTCTCACTTTTAAAAATGTTTTCGACACTTTGTTGCTGTCTTCTTTTGAATTTTGTATAGGAATGGCATGATGAACTCCAGTGCTGAGTTACTCGGAGGATATTCATCTACCTCTGGTTTCTTCCTCCCGCTCTGGCTTCTACCTGAGACCACACCCCAACACAAGCATGCAACCATTTTATTACATTAGGCATACCCACATATTTTAATATATTTCTACTTGTGTACTTAAGAACTAGCTTCTGACTTATAGCGAATTTCCCCCTTAAAATAATTCAAGTCCATGCACATCCATGTTCATTTTTCCACCTGTGTCCTTTCAGCTTACATTTTTCTATATTGTTTGATGTATTATCAAGTTCACAGACCCTGGTGACTAATGGTCTTTCTTGGCATGTTGTATGGAAAAAAAAAAAACAACTATTCAAGAAAAGTAGAAAATTAATTGCAAAATGCATAGGTGGTAACTTTCCAGAATGTCGTGAGACTCACGGGTTTTCCGCTGTTCGATGTTCTCTCTACAGACTGAAACTGATGGACAGCAAAGCACACCAGGTAGGTGCTCATGGGGACAGACTTCTCGAAAGTTGTTCGCTGCCATGTGTCATCCTCTGGCTCTTCTTTCTGTTGAGAACAAAAGATAATCTTTTATCGATCAAAAGATCAGTCCTCTACAAGACAAACAAGCAGTCGCCCCGAACCTGGCTTCCTGGCCAGAAGCTCTTTGTCAAAGCTTAGGAGTGAAATTGTGGTGATGCTGAAAAGACTAAAGGAAAATTCGCTTTGTTTTTAGTCCCCGGAAAGAGTGATTGAATTATACACTCAGGGAGAAATAAGATCTTGACTGTGATATCCTTTAAATAGAAGTTTATTTTTCTATACTAAACACGCAATGTGACCCTGACATTTGAGGGCGCGGGAATCCCTCCATGAAGAACTAGCTAGTGCGCCGCGTCTTGCACTGCGGAAGGACTAAGGAGGTGTTTGCTGATTTGACAGTGCAGGTGGGCAATCAGGCATTCAGAAGGTTGGCTTCTCCTGAAGACCAAAGGTCTGGTCACTAAAGTCCGTGCCTTGGTTACCATGAATGGAGAGAAGGATTGCATTGCTTGACGCGGCGGCTGACCCATCTGGGTTTTTGGTCTATGCCAGCTCTGCTGTCCTTGCTGTCAATCACCCGTCCTCAGGCTTCAACCACAAATACTTGCCCAGCTCACGCTAGCACTGTTTAAACATTTCCACATCGCCTGCAGCCACTCTCAGTCACTCTCTACATGGGAAGCTTTAACAAGAGATTAGGCGAGGGAGGCTGGAGCAGAATCGGCACATGGTTGCCTTGGCAGGCAGGTGCGTGCATGCGCTCGCGCTGGGCTTCAGCAGGGGAAGTCACTCTGCAGAACAAACCTAGCAGTATTGGTTCTGATCTCCTAACGACCCGAATATTCTCCTCCAGGACAACTATCTGGATCTAGCAGAAGGTGAAGAAGTATAACTGTGCCCAGTGAACAGGTCAGAAGGGAAGATCTTTTTTTTTTTTTTTTTTGAGACAGAGTCTCACTCTCTTGCCTGGGCTAGAGTGAGTGCGGTGGCGTCAGCCTAGCTCACAGCAACCTCAAACTCCTGGGCTCAAGTGATCCTCCTGCCTCAGCCTCTGGGTAGCTGGGACTACAGGCATGCGCCACCATGCCCGGCTAATTTTTTCTATTTTTAGTTGTTTGGCTAATTTCTTTCTATTTATAGTAGAGACGAGAGTCTCACTTTTGCTCAGGCTAGTCTCGAACTCCTGAGCTCCATCCGCCCGCCTTGGCCTCCCAGAGTGCTAGGATTACAGGCGTGAGCCACCGCGCCCGGCCAGAAAGGGAGATCTTAAGCAGAGGGTAGTAGGTTTGCCTTCTTTCTCTTACTGCCTTCACTGCCCCCATCTGTGCCAAGACATTCTGACAGCATTCTACTCTGATCCAATCTCCTGGATTGGTGTGTCACACTTTAAATTTATCCCTTCCTCTTTCTTCTCCAATCAAAGCTTAATTTCTCAGGTGCCTGACACCAGAAGAAAACAAGTTGAAAATGAGTTCATACTGGGGCATGGATGGCTGATGAAAGTACATTTTAATACTCCTAAGCTTTTGTCTGCTTTATTTTGTTTTTGCTTTTTCAAGAAACATTTTATCCTCAAAAGAGATTAATTTCGATGATGGTATTTCAGAGACTGGATCAGAAAGATGGGAGCTATAATTTAGGGCTAAGTATCTTTCTGGTCCTAGGTAGAAGACCATTATACCTAAAGTTAACCTACCCTTTTTACAGGTCAAATGTTTAAATTATGAGAAGCCTCAACTTTGAGCTAATGACAATCTAGGTAACCACATGACCCATTACGGAGGTGAGGAGCAGTAACAGAGGAAAGAGTCTTAAGTTAATTAATAATTATACAGGCAGAAATTATTGTAACCTATTTTGTTTTTTGAGTTTTATTAGACATTTAACAAGCACCTCCCATTGACCAGAAAATCTACTGGCATAGTCTTCCCTGGAGTTGGCTTCTACAACACAGTATTTGTGATAATTTTTTACAGTAGCTTTATCTTTAAGAAAACAACAACAGGCCTGGCGCGGTGGCTCATGCCTGTAATCCTAGC